GTCGGAGTGGTTCGTTCAATGTGGTGTCAACATTTCATTTCAATCATCGGCCGAGGCCTATGAAATCTAATCCAACTAGAAAAACGGTTTAACATCATCGCTCGGATTTATTGGGTATCAAAACCCAACATTTTGTTGCTCAAAAATGTTACTTGTACAGATGAATTTACAGGTGCTAAGATGGCAAAATTTAATTGATTGGTTTAACTTTTTTTTTTTGTCCAAAATCCAATGAAATCTTGCCCGCTGGCATTCTGTAACCCAGGCTGTTTTGGCATTCTGTAAACCAGACTGCAAAAACAGCCTGTACGTGTAGCATTTCTCTTTGTTGCTGAGTTTACACCAGAGAATTTTGTACTACGATGTGGTTTTTGTCTGTTATTAATTTAATGATGTTTTCTATGTTTATTCTTTGTTTCCAGCGTCCGGTCAAGCATGCTGTTGAAAAATGAGCTAGCTGGATTTCTCTGTATAGGCTTTTATCATCCCTTTTGTCTACACTATAGTTAACCCAGATGTTATCCAAAAAAATGGAGTCAATCACTTCTCCCCGGTGGCATTATCTACTGATATTGCTCTTGTTAATTGTGTTGGGCAGATTTTCAGGCATCATGTTTCTCTTTATTTCTTTCTTTTATCACATATTATTTTCTTGTATATTGAAGCTAGTTGCTTTCTCGGGTTTCAGATTGCTACGAGCCTTTGGATCCGAATGGGAATTTTACAGTCACTTTTAAAATATTCAAGTATACAATTGATGGCTATGTGGTTAGTACTACAATTCACACTCTTTAATTATGTTTTATATTGAAATTATTCTTTTATCAAAGTTGCTATCTATCTTTTACTTTTGAATTATATTAAGATAAAAAGGTTTAGATTAGGCTCATCTTTTCAGAGTTACTTCAAGCATATTAAGTGAGGTGGATGGACATCGCCAAACACTAAAGAAAGATGTAAAATTTTGTGTCTTGCGGTGTTCAATCAGCATAGCAAGTATGCCCTTTATGTTATATGTAGTACTAGTGAAGTTGTTGATCATGTGAACAACCTGAATTGGCTTTAGTAGTGATTCTAGAGCCGGCCTCAAATTTTGCTTGTCCATATATCTATATTTGTACTTTCTATAATTTCGTAATTTAATGTTCTATAACATGGTCACCTGTAACCGAATTGTCATCCACCAATCTGGATGCTTTTTTGTAGGCAAGAGTAACAATCCAAAACTACTACCAGTATCGTGATGTAGAGAAACCAAGATGGAAACTAGGTTGGACATGGGCCAGAAACGAGATCATTTGGTCGATGTCTGGTGCTTTTGCTATCCAAAAAGGAAATTGTTCGTCTTTCAAATACCAAGTACCACATTCTTGTAAGAAAGATCCGGTGATAGTTGATCTGATGCCAGATGCATCGCCACTGAAGTGACTGAACAAGACGGATGGTTGTTGCCATGGTGGGATTCTTGCTGCCTATGCTGTTGATCCTTCCATGTCCAACTCATCCTTTGAGCTTACAGTTGGCAATTTGGAAAAGAATTCGGCTGGTTACAAGCCTCTAAATCTAACTCTAATGGCTCCAGGACCTGGCTACACTTGTGTACCTTTAAAGGATATGAATCCCATAGTTTCTTTAGTTACAGGGGGACGAAGAAAAGAGCAAGTTTTCAGTAAGTATTTTAGTGTGTAAAAGTTAACCTAATATTGTTGATGACATGTCAACGGTCAGTTGCTCGCTAGAAAGATCGTTCTAGTATGAATCAATGCACCTTGAACAATGACAGAAATCAGTAAATCCTAACTATAAATTTTTCTTTTTCAGGGACATGGAAATCGACATGCACGTTCTCCAGTTATTTGGCAAACGAATCTCCAAAAAACAAATGGTTCGGGACATCTATGCCACGAATGAAGGTTGGGGATAAAATTACGAAAGGGGGTAAAGATTGAAAACAACGGCTGCAATTTTTCCAATTTTATCATTACCAAGTGTTCTTGAAGCTCCTCCATGCTAATTGTTCTTGAAGCTCTGTAAAATATTAGTAACTTAAGCCAAATTCTACAAGCACTACTGATTTACCAACTTGTTTAAACTGGAAAAATAAATCCCAGAAATTTGGATTCAAAATATATTCAGCCAATGCAGATATTATGCAAATTCAATTCCAAAAAATGACTTTGCAGGGTGGGGGCGGGAAATTGATTTTGAATCTTAAACGACATGTTTAATATGATTGTGAACGCGACTAAAGAAGGAGAAAAATTCAATTTTTTTGGTTATGCTATCTAATGCTACTTATCAAATATGTTATATTGTTTATTATACACAAAGGAAAAAGTAATATTTCTATACACATTTAAAAACAAAAATATACAAGATTTTTTACCTAGCAAATTGCATTGAAAGTAGTGAACACAAAAAACTTTAACTATTTTTTATATCTATTTGGACCATTCGATATAACTATGATGTAGTTCTCGAAACGAGTTTCGAGATGACTTATGCGATTTGTGGATTCGGCTAGCGTATGATCATCGCAGAATTTTTAAAATTAGTATGTTATCGAAATTCTCAAAATACTAGTTTGAAACGGCCTACTTTAACAAACTATAACATTTGCTACAATTGATTGTTTTGTGCATCATTAACGACAAAAAAAAAAAAAAACTAGGCCATAAGCATTTCGAAATAGTATTAAAAATACAATATTTCTACTTCGTTTGACATCCCATAATGACTTTTAAAATTGAGACAAAAATATAGAAACAAAAAAAAAAAAAAAATTGGCCCCAAAGTTGGGGGGTCACGTGCCCCAGCCCACCCCTGTGTCCGCCCCTAGCATTGACTTGGTAAAACGATTATCCTACACTATTATCTATGTGTAATTTTACTTAAATAAAATTATGGCACCAAAATTCTAAGATTAAAAGGAGTAACTTAGCTTATGTTTGGCTCATGTTTATAAATAGTATATAAGCACTTAGGTCACTTTTTATCTACAAATTTTGAGAAATTTAAAAGTATTATCTACTTATCAATTACTCATAATTTATATCATTTCCAAACACCTCCCAAACGTGCTTTTATATGGAGATAAAAAATAAAAATAAAAAAGATTTTTACATTATTTAGAATATGCAGAGATACGCTATAATCAATTTAAAAAAACTCATCCATGTCTAATTTAAAATACCAAATACAAGGGTTCTTTAGGAATTTCTTCCACTCATTCCTCAATTATATATTGATGTATCCACATGAGTCAATTACATGTCAAATACATTAATGGCTTGACTAATCCATTCACTAATGGATAAAACACGACAATAAGTTGAGTTACCGGAGAAAAATTGTAAGACACAAATGTGCATACTTAGCAGTCAAATGTACATAAATTGCCTACTAAAAACCCAGATTTTACAAAGTTAAAACAGTAGAGATGGTGTATCAAGAAAATAGTTTGAAATTAATTTGCAAAAAGATCTATAAGCTATGGACTAGTAGTACATTTTTTCCTTTGTTTAAAGTATTTGATTAATAAGCTTTGTACTAGCACAGAAAGAGGATTACTACTTAGTTCTTCTTTAGAGTTGCATTAAGAATGGCAGAATCTG